TGTGTTTTTAGACAATATAGCCTACACAAAGTATGTTTTTAAAAGCCATTTTAATGCTATCCCTTGATAAACCTTCCTATTGTTTTTGACTTGTGTTTTAATATGTTGGCTAACGTTATATGAAAATTAAGAATTCTGTCAGGCTATTGATTGATTTTCCATTGTTCTGCATTTCCCAAGCTGATTTGAATAAATAAGCTATGCTTTGACCGACGTTGAGTGTATACTCTTCTTTTTTTTCTTTTTAACGACCACCTAAAATAAAATTATGATAACGCGAGGCAAGTGTGCGGCAAGCGGAATTCATTGAGGGATTTGACAGTGTGATTCATAGATTAAGTATTTCAAATATAGGCTATTATATATGCTACACGCACGCACAGAGGTTTTTTTTTTTCTTACCATCTTTTGGGGGTTTCTTGCTTTTAGACTAGTCGACTAGTCGGATACAAAACTTTCGTTTAAACGACAGTCAAATTAGTCGTCGCGCACATCCCTAGTCATGAGCCGAATGACCGGTGCATAAGGATTTGAGTTCAACCCATCACAGAGGTCATTCACTGGTGACGTTCTCGGAGCAGACAAGCTGACATTACAAGGCTCTGAAGCCAAAAAGATTAAGATGTGCAATTAAGCTGCAGTATGAGCATGTCAGGGTTGGGCAGAAATCAGATCTGAAGAATCATGAGCTGGAATTTGAATTGGAAGTTGAACAGGAAGTTGGAGTGAAATTTGATTTACAATGAACTACATTTGAATTACATGCTCTCCCATATCTATATCCAATATTCTATGTGCTATTCTGTATCCTATATTCCTTCTCTATACCCTATATCTATTCTATAGCCAGCATTCTGTATGCTATATTCTATATCTAATATTCTATTGTATATCTATGTCCTGTATCTGTATACTATCTCCTATATCCTACATACTACATCCCTTTTCTATATTCTACATCCAATATTCTATATGCTATATTCTATATTGTATATCCTATATCTAAAATCAGTATTTATTCTACATCCAACATTCTATATGCTATGTTCTATTACATGTATCTAATATCTATGCCCATGTCCTGTGTCTATAATCTATATTCCATTTCCAATATTCTATATCTAATATCTAACATCAGAATTCCACATCCAATATATAATTTGCTATATTCTATATCCAATATTCTATATGCTATATTCTATTTCATGTATCTAATATCTGTCCATGTCCTGTTTCTATCCTATTGCCTATCTATAATCCCTCCCTGTATAATCCCTATTCCCTGTATTTAATATTCTATATTTTATATTCTAGATCTAAAATGTATTGTCTAGAATCTAAGTGTTAAACTTCATTTCAAAGCTTTCAAACAAGGCTTTGTCAAGCCAACATTCAGTTCATCCTGACAAACTTGCTTTTCTAGTTCAAATATTGAATTCAGTCCATTTTAATTGTACTTCCTTATTCAAATTCCAGCTGCAATTCTGCATTCTGCTTGCTACCACAATTCAAATGACATAGTGTAGAATCGGAATGTTAATATAATATGCATTCTCAATTCAGTGCTGAATGACGCACAACCCCTGTGCATGTAGAAGTGACCGTTTTGTCTACAGTGGGAAGAATAAAACAGTAATAAAACAGCCTCAGGGGACGTTTTTCCGTTCCACATCAACAAAAAATGACCGGCACTCGGGTGAAGCATATTGTGCAGTAAAAAACCGGAGTGCCCATCTGTCCCTGTGCCAAAACACGGAACGAGAAGCAGTCGCAGCACCTCCTCCTCTTCTTCTGCTGCTGCAGGATGTGGGATATTCGGCAGAAAGGCGGAACAATGCTGTCGCCAGCTTGTGTTTGTCCTGCGGCAGGGGCAATTACTGCTGAGATTCACACGGCAGCGACAGGCCGAGGTGAAATACAGGCAGACGACTCATCTGTACGAGGCCATGTGATCAAAGGACAGCCCCGCAGACGAGCTTCACCTGAAGGCGGTCTGACTGCCGACTCGACCTCGTCTTGATCGCCAAACCTGTAAACAGACGGCCGTGAGGGGATGATGAGCTGATGAGCGCTGGAGAATTTCCTCAGAATGTTTCATTGGGAAAGAAGCACGAGGACGCAGCCATATCCACATGAGACTCATTACAGACCAGACATCCATCAAAATGGAATTACATGGAATTCTCCATTAGCGTAATTAGAATGCACTGCAAACGAACCCGGTTTTAACTCTGTGCTAAAATGTTGAAGTGGTCAACGCATGCTAAAAATGTCCTACAGCTCTTTGGAAGAAAAGAGAAAGTTGCTGTTTTGTGCATATCATCCTTAAAGGGATAAATTTAAAACCTCACCCTCATGTTGTTCCAAACCCATATGCTTTTTTTAAGATGATATCATATGATAGTATTGTGTATGGAACAGACTGGAAATGAAGTAATTTTTTTATGGAAAATCATTTCTTTTGCTGCATTGCTCCATTCAAATTGCTGTGACGATGTCATTTTTGAATCTGAACCTGATTTTGAATGAGATTTTAGAGAGGACTATTCTTAAACATCATTTTGTTCTTCATGAAAAAGTATCAAAGTGACTTTGAATACTTCACAACTCAAATAACCCACTTTTATGGTGGTCTAATGGGCAGCTGTTTGAGACTGAGCTCTCCACTAATATAGATCAGTGGTGGTGTGCGCGCGTTTGGTATAAGCGTGAAACCTGCGGGAATTACTAAAATAATGAGCAATACAAGCACTATTTAACCGGAGCGAATGAGACGTGTGTGAGAGAGAATGGGTCGTCGGAGAGAAGAGAGCGAGAATGCGCTGCTGACGTTATTGCCTGTGCCGCTGGTAACAAAACGGATCGAAATCGGAAAGAAGTGAGACTGATCGGCCAATCACCGATCCGAGCCGAGCCGATCATGAGGAAAATCGGCCGATTCCGATCCCTGGCCGATCGATCGGTGCATCTCTACTTTTTTGGATTGTCACTGTTAATTTGCTATACAGAAATTAGCTGCGTGAAAATTATTGACATGGGGGTGAGTAGACAGGATTTATGTTTTTAGCTCAAATATTAATCTATAAAGAATGTAGCACATGAATTTGACTAGTCCTCTAATTCCCATTCTTCAAAATTCCATTGAAACAGATCATTGGGGAACAAATATTTCTCACATGCCAGCGAGTGCGTTTTTCAAGGAAGTCCCTTTGCGGTCACCGCAGAGACACTACATCATTCCCACAGGCTGTCCTTCAACTGCTGTGACACCATAAGACAAGCCGCATCTCTGGCCCTGAGTCCATTTCCCACAGTATAGCAGCCTACACTCTAAAAAATACATTTATTAGCATTGATGGTTCCACCTTTACCATCCATGGAATCTTTCCATTCAAAAAAATGCTCTTTATAGTGGAAAAAGCATCTTGAGACTAATAAAACATTCACACTAAGTTAAAATGGTTCTCTGAAGAACTGTTCACTGAAAGGTTCCTTGGAGAACCAAAAATGGTTCTTAAAAATAAAGTTTATTGGCACTGATGGTTCCATGAAGAACCTTGAACATCCATGGAGTCTTCCATTTCACAAAAGCTTCTATAGTGGAAAAAGGTTCTTTTTTTTTTTTAAATGTTCATTCTTAAAAATAAGATAAGAAAGAAGAATCCTTTTTTGGTTTCCCAAAAGAACCTTTCAGAGAACAGTTCTTAAAATAACCATTCATTTGAAAAATCTTAACAATCTAAAGCACCTTTTTCACTATGAAGAACCTTTTGTGGAATGGAAAGTTTCCATGAATGTTCAAGGTTCTTCATGAAACCATCGATTTCAACCAATAAAGAACCTTTATTTTTAACAAGTGTAGAAGAACCATTTTCTTTATACCAAGGAAGAAAAAAAGGTTCTTTCAAGAACTGGTCATTGAAAGGTTCTTTAGGAAAC